GCAGGCCAGTGCAGCTGCAGCTCCTGCTCTCCCGGAAGGACAAAGCAGCATGATGGAAATGATGCCCATCATCCTCACCCAAATGGGGGGGAGGGGGGAGGACAAGACTTGGAAAAAAAGTCTGAGGAGAGGACATGTAACTTCACTGGTTTGCAGTGAAGTATTATCATATTAACCAAGAGGCTGACTGACAGCTCTTACTGACAAGAAGTTCTTCCTAATGTCTAATGTGCATCGGCATCCTTGAAGCCTCACCCCATTTGTTCTAAGCTTCCCCTCTGGAGCAAGTGAGAATAAGTCCAAACCCTCTGCAATGTGACAGCCCTTCAGATATTTGAAGAGAGCTATCGTGACCCCTCTCAACCTTCTCTTCTGCAAGCTAAACATACCTCAGTCTCTTAACTGTTCGTCACAGGACTTGGTTTCCAGTCCTTTCTCCAACTTGGTAGCCCTTTTCTGGATCTGATCCAGTTTATCGAAGTTTTTAAAATGGGGTATTTAATTTAAAAGCTTCCCTGCTTCTGAGGTCTATAATCTTTTATTAACACACACACACATGCACACTCTCCCCCCCCCCTAAAAGCAAAAGCTTTTGTTTGTTTGTTTGTTTTGGCCCAATATCTTAAAACCTGTGTTGGAATTTTCACTGGGAGGTATTGAAATAAACAATTGAACCTTGCAAGGATTTTCATTTTGACAATCCAACCTAAAGTGTTGAAATACTTTTTAGCCCAACTTTTCAATTCTTGTTTAATTTCTTCCATGTAGGTGTATAGTTATTAATTTTTTTCTTAATATTTTTAGTAATAGCGATCCTTAATATTTGAAAGATTTATACACTACAGGAATTCCTAAAACTATTGAAACTTCCTTTGAAAAACATCAAATATGATTTGTGGAAATTAACTGCTAGTCCTGACACCAGTGTGAATTCCTCTGACTTCTCAATGCAGCCAGCTGAACAGGAGGCGCTGCGCAGCACGGTACAAGATACAGCCTGTTCCCTAATCGTATCTCACGAACCAGCTCCTTCGAGCGAAGGGCTGCTGCCGCCCTTCTACAGCCAAACCGCCTGGCAAGGGTGATGAGGGACAGCCCCGCTTAGTACCTCTTAGGGTCGAGCTTATCTAAATCTCCCGGCCACGAGTCTTCCCTGAGGGCTTGGATTGGTTTGGTCGCCTTCGTGTCAGCCTTGACTCCTGACGACTGCCCGGACCAGTGCCTGCAGTTTTCCTGGCAAGATCTCAGAAGTGGTTTGCCAGGGCCTCCTCCTTCCTGGGGCTGAGCGAGAGGGCCTGGCCCCAGCTGGCTCCGTGCCTAGCCCGGGACTAAAACTCACCGTCTCCCGGTTTCCAGCCTGGTGCCTTCAACCTCTGCACCAAACTGGCTCTTTATCCGAGCTTCAGTGGTCCATAAATGGGATCAATCATCTGACAAAAGCCAGCCCCAAATTGAAATGTCTTTAACACACGTTTTTAAAATTGCAATTCCACAGAATTACAATATTGACTGACGAAGTTTATTAAAAGGCACCTGGTGCAGGGGGCTGCCCCTCACAAAGCGGGCGCCTTCCTCTTAATAACATTTGCGCTCCAGACTCCTGATTTTTGCCCCCGCAGACCAGCCCCGCTCCGGGGACCGTTTCGTGAGCCGCTCTGGGTGAGGGCTTCTGCGGAAAGCTCGGCAGGGGCTTGGCCGCCTCCCCCGCAAGCAAGCCCCGCCCTGCGAGGAGCCCGTCCGTCGGGCAAGCCAGAGCAGTCCGGCGTCTCGGCCGCCCAGAAGGAAGCCGCGTCTGAACCGAGCTCCCCGGGTCGCCCTAGAGCTGAAAACAGAAAAG